ACAGGTAACCACGGGTACGAGCCATTGTCTGGTCGCGGTGGTTTTTTGCTGTTTGCCAGCGACCTGATGAGAAGAAGTTGTTCTCTATCAGACTGAATGATCGGGCGGTGTCATGCTGCAAAACATTAAAATAAACAGAAAAAGTACATGACGACACTAGAAATGAGGAGTTGGTGAGGAGCTCGGGACACGGCAGCCATCCTCGGCGCCATGACACTTTGGGAAAGGTGTTACAGTGTCCCAGTTCCTTCATAAGAGACGAGTGGTCTCCACTTTGTTTGGACCATGACACTTGAATTATAGTTGAAAGATCAGGAACTCCTGAAGCATCATGGGAGAGCGACCACCATGCTCCCAACACAGACATGAGAGAATCTGAGCTCAGGTCTCAGGTGGAGGCAGAAGCAGCTTGGTTCAGTTCACACGAGCTCGTTTCTGAAGTCAACGCTTTGTTTCTGAAATGATGGAAAGTGTCCTGAGGGAGTTTGACCAAGTTATTATGGTTATTGCTATTTGAATGATCATCATCAGGAGCTACAGATGAGCTGGACACTGTTGAACTGTTGTGTATTCAGACTCCTCACCACTGAACAACTGCACCACTGTTGTCCACTGGTCAATAGTTCTAGTCACTCCGTCTCCATAGAGACAGACTCGTCTCTCATCACACCCATTATTCAACAAACACACGGAGGACAGGTCGAATTCAACCAAATATTCATCACACAAGTTCTGCTTTATTCACTTCCTGTTTTTATTACTAATGCTTCCTGTCAGTTGATTATGTGTCTCAGTTCAGACGCTGCATTTAAAGGGATAGTTCCTGAAAAATGAAACTATCTCCTCACCACTGTGATGGGGGGGGGGGGGGCTTCACTGGCATCATGTTTTTAACCTGAATGTCTCTGGAATCCTCTGGAGAACAAGCGGAGCCCCTCTGACTGAAATCTGTTCTGCAGGAGTTTTATTTACGCCTTCCTGACCAGAGGCCGACCCATCCCCCTGAGAACAATCGTCTTTGCCGCCATCTTCTGCTCGCTCAATGGCTTCTTGCAGGGACACCACCTGCTGCACTGCGCCCGCTTTGATGACACGTGGCTGACCTACGCTCGTCTGGCGGCAGGTGAGTCGTGACAACACAACGACGCCTTCATGTTAAAGGTCAGTTTTATTTTAAACGTCTTCTTCTCGTTCGTCATCATGGAACCTAAACAGAGCTCCGTGTGAAAAAAAAGTTTCTAGTTCATGTGTCTCACCTTCATACGTGTGCTGGTGTCCGAGTGTTAGGAACACGTCACAGTCCAGGAAGACCCTGCTGACCTGAGATCAGCTGCTCATGGTCACATGATAACGTGTCACTTCCTGTTTGCAGGTTTCCTTCTGTTTGTTGTCGGTCTGAGCATCAACATCCACAGTGACCACATCCTGCGCAGCCTCAGGAAACCTGGAGAGGTCGTCTACAGGATCCCCCACGGTACTCAAGACCTCGGAGCAGGATCCCTCCAGATCCAGATCTACACCAGATCTAAACCAGATCCACACCAGATCTAAACCTGATCCACACCTGATCCACACCAGATTCACACCAGATCTAAACCAGATCCACACCAGATCTGAACCAGATCCACACCAGATCTGAACCAGATCTAAACCTGATCCACACCAGATTCACACCGGATCCACACCAGATCTAAACCGGTTACTGGTGTAATCAAGCTTCACTCCAGATCCACTGTTGATTATTGAAGGACATGAACCTGAGCTCACTGTGGCATCACTTCTTCTCTCAGGGGGGATGTTTGAGTTCGTGTCGGGGGCGAACTTCTTCGGTGAGATCGTGGAGTGGTGTGGTTATGCTGTCGCCGTGTCGTCTTTACCAACCTTCGCCTTCGCTTTCTTCACGATCTGCTCCATTGGGCCCAGAGCGTACCACCACCACAGGTAGGACACGCCAAACATCATGAGCTGGGTACAATGTGTACCGACTGTTGTGTAGACATGTTGTGTAGACATGTTGTGTAGTCGTGTTGTGT